CGACTTATTTGAAAGTCGTCTGGGCAGACGACTTACGAGGGCTAGAAACGTAAAAAAAATTCGCGTTTTTTGTTTGTTCACAAGGAGTTGGTTGTAATTTCAATAGCCTTTTAAGTTACTTTTGCATTTGATTCAAGTTTGGGTTTACTTTTGCATTTCAAATCAAGTTTTGAGTCATATTTGGCAATTTTCCCTAACATGATGTATATACACGGTTGGAAAATAATTATTTAATTAAGAATTTAGAGTTTTGTTACGATCTATACTCTGATACCATATTAGATTCGAGTTTATCATAGATTTCTAATTTAAAACAAATCGGTGATCAATGGATTATCTCTAACCTTTTATATTATTTTAAAGATTCCATTGAATTTCTGATGTATGATATATGTCTTTAATATTTATGATAAAAAGTTCATAGCTGTGAATACCACTATCTCAATTTAAATCTGGTCATTAGAACGTCTTGAGTGATAAATGAGTGTAGATTTTATGGATTTTGTGGTAATTAATCATTAGTTGCAAAAAAAATCTTTGGAATCACATCATGTTTATCCAAAAAAAAAGTTTGAAAGTGTTTGGATTTGTTTCTATAAGTAGCAAGATGTCATCTTATTTTATAACTTACAAATTGAAAATTATTTTTCTACATTTTTGAAATTAATAGCTTTAAATTCTTTGTTATTCATAGATTTTGTACTACTTCTTATTCAACACTTTAATGTGAAACACACAATTAATTTATTAAAATACAAAATTTCCATATTTATATAATTTTATGAAATCAAATAATAATAACTCCAGTTAAACTTCTTATTTCTGAACTTAATTATATTTTTAAGTATTCACACAATTGAAAAATCATAAAAAAAAATCTCGTCATAAAGTACTTTAACTTTTCTCATGCTTATTCTCTCACTCACCGCATTCACATAAATCCACACAAAAAAATGAAAAAATATATATTTACCAAAGAAATAGAAGAAAAAAATGACCACTTCTTTTCTTTTCTTTATTTTCTGTCTGATACAGGAAATGACCTCTTCATCAGCAGCAAACTCCTTTGACGATGGCAAATACAAAACAGATCTCTTAACACTGGACCCATCATCTTGCTGCCGGAAACCACAGTCTTCTTCTCCTCCGTCTCCGCCAAAGCAGCTCTTGGTAGCAACGCCTGTGGAGGAAGGAGAATATCCAGTGGTGATGCTCCTCCATGGTTACCTTCTCTACAACTCATTTTATTCCCAGCTTATGTTGCATGTCTCTTCCCATGGCTTCATTGTCATCGCCCCGCAGGTTCAATTATATCCCACAAATTAAAGCTAAATTAATTACCCTGATTCACGAATTAATTAATTAATTAGTCACTGAAATATATTTAATTGGGATTCACAGTGTGTATAGCTTAGTTAGCTTTTTTTTTTTTGTCAACGTATAGCTTAGTTAGCTAGGTGTGAATTATTAGTCCCTTTGGGTTTAAGTTTGAATGTTACAATGGACAAACTCCTGTAAATAGTTTTTTTTGACTAAAACTCCTGTAAATAGTTTTGATGGAATAATGCAAAACTAACGTGTAAAAGATATAGGATTAATAGATTTTAAATTGAGTACAAAATCATAACGATACCTTTATTAATTGACTAAGATTTAGGCAAAAAATCATAAAGTAAATGACACATCTATTGCTCAAAAAAGACTAAGAAAACTGTAACCATTTTAATGGAGTACATGATGCCACGTCCTCGGAGTTTATTTTCCTGAAACCTTATTTTTCTTAGGCTCTTATGAAAACCTTAGGCAAGAAGAAAAAAATAAGAACAAATAAGCAAATCAATGGGTCCACTTGATGTGTGATTTTGTTTTTGTCTCTAATCAAATTTTCCAATTCCTTATAATCTCTCGATATTTCCAAGAACCATTTTGGTTACACATTTATATAGTAATTTACATATTCCAATAATCATTTTGTTGTGAATAAATTTTCTTGGTTATATGTTATTCAACAGTTATACAGCATTGCTGGACCAGACACAATGGACGAGATAAAATCAACGGCACAGATTATTGATTGGTTATCAGTTGGACTAAACCACTTTCTTCCACCACAAGTAACACCAAACCTATCCAAACTCGCACTCTCAGGCCACAGCCGTGGCGGTAAAACCGCATTTGCCTTGGCCTTAAAGAAATTTGGATACTCTTCCGACCTAAAGATCTCGGCATTGATCGGTATAGATCCTGTGGATGGGACAGGGAAAGGGAAACAAACCCCTCCTCCAGTTTTAACCTATGAACCAAACTCATTTGACCTAGAAGACAAAATGCCTGTTCTAGTGATCGGTTCAGGACTTGGTGAAACTGCCCCGAACCCGTTGTTTCCTCCGTGTGCGCCTCCCGGAGTTAACCACCGAGATTTCTTCCGGGAATGTCAAGGTCCAGCGTGGCATTTTGTTGCAAAGGATTATGGGCATTTGGACATGCTTGATGATGATACAAAAGGGATTAGAGGGAAGGTTTCACATTGTTTGTGTAAGAATGGTGAAGAGAGAAGACCAATGAGGAGGTTTGTTGGTGGAAGTGTTGTGGCGTTTTTGATGGCTTATTTGGAAGGTGATGATTGTGAATTGGTTAAGATCAAAGATAAGTCTCATGAAGGTGTTCCTGTCGAAATTCAGGAGTTTGAGGTTAAAAACTAGTTTTCTTTAGTGTCTTTTTTTTTTTTCAATTGTTGTTTTCAGCATAAACATAGAGGCGATTTCTAAATAAGTGTATAATCATTACTTTCAATGAGGGCCTTTAATATGGTAATAGCGAACCATACCAAACTGAACCAAAATAGATAATATGGTTTGGATTTGGTATATACCATATAAACCGAATGGATATGATTTTATAAAAACCGTAAAATTTGGATATGGTTAGGTTTATAATCGATTAAACCGAACAAAACCGATCAAAGAAAAATATATAAATATATACATTATATAACCATTTATTTTCTTGGAATAGTCTTTTTTCTTTTTACTTTTTTATTATTTGTGAAGATATATCTTAATTTTTTTTTTAACTATTAGCTAAATTTGATTGATTTTGCATGTTGTAAAAAATTGTGAAATTAGATTGAACCATGTAATTTATTTGGAAGAACAAAAAGAAAATAAGAAAAGCGATACAAAACTGAATTGTTGTTTTGTTTGTTGTTAATTTCACATTTTTATATTTATGAACGCATGGGATTATTTTAATAAATGATAGCTTTGACAATATTTTTTTTTTTAAATTCATATAATATAAAACCAAATCAAATAATAATGTTATTTGGTATAAAACCAAATAAACCGAAAACCGGTAGTATAAATACCGAACCAAACCAAATTAAATATGGTTCCATTATGATAACTATTTTTTTATAAACCGAATAACCGAAAACCAAAAAACCGAACCGAACACCGGATTGAACAGACCTATTTCAATTATCATTCACGCCAAAATAAAAACCAAACCAAAAAAAAAAAAAATACAATGTGATTCACCATATACACACGAGAAGACCATATAATAAATATACATTTACATGATCAACAAATACTTGGAATGTTATGATGTGTGTTGTTCTGAAAAATCCATCAACACCTCCTCTATTAACTCCTCCAGCAACTTCAACTCTATTTCTTCTCCCATACATTCCATTTCCAATCTCAAACTTTCCTTTGAACCAATCTCTGCCACTTCAGTCCTCACCACTCTATTCACTGCCAAACTGCTCAAGTCTCCATCTTCATCCCACCACCGATATTCAACTCTTCCTTTACCCTTTAAACATTCTTGCATCCGGTTTACAACATAACTCCCCAATGTCTTACCAGAGAGAAGTATATGACCACCATGTCCAAGATAGCTCGGTGTCAGCTCCAAGAGCAGTGTATTAACGAGGTCGAACACTAGCTTCTTCACGTTTGATCCTAGTCTTTGATGTTCTGTTGAGTTAGCATAGCTGTCTCTCAGAGATGGGTCTAATGGACTTTCTACTGAATGCCATTTAGACAAAAGATTGTCTATGATGGAAGATGGTGACAATGACTCTGTCTCCTCATCGAGATGAGCTGCTGATAAGAGTGTGTTGATGAGGAGACGCAAGTCTTCTTCTTCCTCTTCTCTTGTGGAAGTAGTAGAGAGTTTTGATGAGTAGCACCGAGCTACTGTTGAGTCATTGAATGAAAAGTTTCGACCAATGGAAGGCGATTTGCCTAATAAGTTGGACCTCTCCGGTTCTGTTTTTTTTCAAGATTTTGCGGTTTAGTAAGGAAACAGGATAAAAGAAAGAGTGAGTGCTGGCTTTTAGGATGAATACTTACCAAGAGAAGAGGATGATGATCTATTCATAACACAGGAGTTAAAAAAGAGTTCATCATCTTCATCAGAAGACGTTTCCAAGACTGAAGCTGGAAAGCAAGTTGATAGGCCTGCCTGTTGTGATGATACCAAAAAATATTGTAAATAAAAGATCTCATAAAAGAATGCCACATATGAATGGATTGAAATCAGTAAAATGTGTTTCACATGATTAACAATACCTCACGAGAAAGTATGCTTCTGGTAGACAATGATTCATCGTTAAACCGAGAATCCAAGCTTTCAGGAATTTCCTCATTAGATCTCTCATTACTTGCTTTCTTGTTCCTTGAGAAAAGAAAGTTTGTGACTCTACCTTTCAGAGACCATTTCAAGCTCTTTGACTTTGTCAGCTTCTCAGGAACTTTGGGTTTGCCCCCAAGACTTGTGGATGATTCAGGGAGAGATTTTGACCTCATAAGGCCTTTAAATGACACTCCAGGATCATTTTCTTCATTACCACCATTTGCTACTTCTTTTTCGGTTCTAAGATATGACATTGAATCTGAAAGTGCAAGCATATCACCTAAAGAAATGTTACCACCTTTCTTCTCGACAACTTTGGCCTCCTGCAAATTCTCATTAGATGCTGTCATCAATGCCCATCTCTCTGAAAGCCGTCTCTTGGCTTCTCTACATACTGAAGATGACTCTGGAGAGCCAGAAGCTCTGCTAAAAGGCGAAGAAGACGAAAAAGTACTATCATACTTGTTGATATAGTCCCATGAATGCTTAGAAACAGGTGACATGATTTCAGAATCTGCATCATAACTATCATCTCCTATATAGCCGTTGGAGAAGACAGAAGAATGTGAAGTTTCTTCCTTAACCACATCTTTTGACTTCCTCTCCTCAAAACTATCCAACACAGGTAAACCTCTTGGAGAGGTTGGGCATGAGGAAGCCTTTGTGACATGGCCATTAGGTTTCAGAACAACTATTCTAGTTGATTTTTTTGTCTGATAGTCTTCATTACCTAACTTCTCATCATCAATGGTCTTTGAAGGCTTCAGAATAGTGATCCTCTTTGACTTCTCCGGGGCTGTGGACTCAAAACTATGGAGATGATGAGAGAATAAGCTATTAGACTCCTTCAAAAACTCAATGAACAACTCTTTGTTCTCACTCAAAACTTCCATAGCTTCTTGAAACTCCTTGGAATGTCTAAGCTTCTCATCTGTAACCAAACGTTTTGCTTCCAAAAACTTCTCACGGACAATGTCAATCTTCTTGTTGCTTAAACCCTCCACACCTGGTGGTTTCTCCCAAATCTCATAGACATCTCTACACTCTCCATGACTTAACGACCTCTTAAGCCGAGGCTTCGAGCTGTTACTACTCCTTTGAGCATGTGGGAATGATTCAAGACCCATTAACTTGGCAACCAAGTTCGTCGAACCACCAACCGTCAATTCCATTTCTTTTGACATCTCCTCTTCTAAGAGCCTCTTTATTGGTGTTCCATTGACTGCAATGGTATCCTGCAATCACAATGACCAGAAGGTGAAAACCCAATTATTACATACTCCCTCTGTTTTTGTTATTAGATAATTAAGAAATCATTTTTTTTGTTGATCAAAAAAAATTAAGAAATCATTTAGTTTTTCATATTTTCTATACGAAAACACTACTCCCTCTATTTCATATTTATTATTTAAAAACACAATTACCTATACATCTAACCACATTTTAACCAATAGAAAAATAAATTATATAATAAAATTAAAAAATTTTGCACTAAAACGAAAAACACACCTATTTTGTAACGAAAAAAATTCTCCACAGCTACACGTAATATGAAACGGAGTATTAATCATCAAATTAATCACAATTCAATCAATAATATAATAATTTGCAGAATATTAAAGGTCATATACCATAAAAACTTAATTAATTTTACATAGAAAACTGAAAATGTCATCTAATTTGAAACAAAAATAAATCTCTAAAATGTCAAATATTAAGAAATAGAGGGAGCATAAAACGCAAACAATTAACAGAAAGCTATTGTCTTTACAGGTAAAATAAACTCACAGCTTTATCTTCTATCAGATCAAATGAATTCCTCTTTATAGATCCTGTGAAGGCATAATAATTTATCAATCCATCATGACTATATAACTTTATAAAATCCTCCTCAAGAAGTTGTTAAGTAGAGAGAAGAAACCTAACCATCATCATCAAAGTAGGGTTTATTAGTGAGAAACTTCTTCCCACTACCAACTGTTCCGAAGTCGAATAGGTTTACCATCCGACCCAAACATCCGTGTGGCTGCTGCTGAACGTTTCTTCTTCGATTCCGATTCATTTTAAACGGCTGAAAACATATAACAAATTAAGTTAACAAAGTATTACAAAAAAACAGAGACTTTCTTTGAAGTACACAAAGACAAACCAGTATTGTTAGAGGAGACAACTTCAGAATCAAGAAGAGAAAAAATCTTTAATATTATTATTTTTTTGATCAAAATCTCTTTAATATTATGAAGAGAAACAAAAATCGAGGGAAATAAAGGAAGGAAATCTTGAGAATTAAAAGAGCAATCAGAAAACATTTATTAGCCACACTAAAGAGATAAATATTTGCAGTGGCGTTTACAAACGCAAACGCGGCAACTGCGTAACCGACACCATAACAAGTAATTAAGAAGCAGAAAAGGTAAGAAGCAAAAAAAATGTAAGAAGAGAGGCGAATTCACAGGGAGAACGTTAGTCTGAAAGGGAAAGAGATCGGAGAGAGAGAGAGAGCGAAAAAGGCAAATAATCAGAAACGTAATTTCGCTTTCTTTCACCGAACATTTCGCAAAAAAAGAAGAAATATAAAGTTTCACGATCAAAACGTAGTCGTTTTCTCAACGGACAACGACAGTTCAATAGAGAGAGAGAGAAAGACAGAGACTTGTCTGTCGGAATATGCATTACCTCGCCGGAGCTTTTCTTTAAACAATATAAAAGCTAAAACCTTTCTCGCCGGAGCTTCGTTTTAGTAATAATATAAAGGTAGAAGCTTTTTTCGCCGGGGGCTTTGGTTAACGATATAAAGGGTGAAGCTTTTTGTTCCGCTGTTTTAAGACTTTTGAGTCAAGAAGAAGATTGTGGTGACATCATCACCGACGCAATGTCGGACGCGAAACGCGTGGATTAAATGCGATTAAATAGAAGGCGACAGGTACGGAAGTGGATGAAAGAGAGAGAGTTGAGTTGTGTGTTGTCCATGGATAATGGAGCAGGTTACGACTTTGGAACAACGCAAAAACGGAGTTTGGTTTCTTATTCTTTTATAAACGCGTTTCTTTCTATTATTCCTTATTACAAGGTTCTATAATCATTAATTATTGATGTCGGATCATTATTAATTCGTATGATTATATCAACTTCCTTAACCATCCATGTTGGAATATACAGATATCCTTAGTTTTTTTTTTTTTGTCAACATAGATATCCTTAGTCCATCCATATTGAGACTTGTGTTATATTTGAGGAATATAGTTTTATTTTGTAAATAAATTTGACATTATGTAGGATGTATATTTTAAAATTAGTTCTTGTTTTGTGCATATTTAGTAATAAATTATGTAAGTAGATATTCTATGCATATTTAGTAATAAATTATGTAAGTAAATATTCTATGTTATTTCTATTTTTCGAATCATATTTTTTGGTTGTAACTGGTAATTTGTAGAATAGCGTAATGGAGTCTTTTTACGATTGTGCGAATAATTCCACCAATCAAAAAAAATTGCGGAGAGTAAAAAACATATTTTTTTTTGTTGATAGAAATACAAAGAAAAGTTGTATTAAGTGGAAACGTGAATTTTAATTGATTCTTTACAAAATCAATACTTTCATATTACTAAATTATATAATAATACCATTTTAAAATTTTAATTAAATAGTAATAACTTTTTTAGTAATTAAAAAAGATGTTCAAAATAAAATTACACTATAATTTATTTTATAAATATTATAAGATGTCAGTATGTTATGAAAAACATATTGAAAAATAAGCTAAATAATTATAATAAAAATGAAAGTATTTTTAATAAATTTTACTTATTTTCATATTTTGTAATAACTAGTTTAAAAATTGCAAAAAATTTACATATGGATAGTCATATAAGGAAAGTGTACTCATGGTTGTTGTGGGAAATTTAGAAAACTCGGAATGCCTTTACTTTTGAAAACAAAGTTATTGACTCTTCGGTTATAGCTATGAAAGCTTATGAAGCTGAATCAATATGGGTTGACACTTTCAAAGAAAGGGATTGTGGGAGTGGTAGTATTGATATGGAGAGCGTGCGATGGATACCCCCGCCTTCTGGATTTCTAAAATGTAATATCGGATCCTCATAGGTGAAATCCAATCAGCCTAGCGGTGCTTCATAGATTTTACGTGATGACAATGGGGTTACGATTATGCATAGCTGCCGGACTTATTCTTTTATGCGCACAAATACTGAAGCCGACTTGTGGGTTTTGTTCTGGGCAGTCGAATGTATGGCTAATTTACATTTCTCAAATATTATTTTTGAAACAGCAGCAGACAGCATCCACGAAGTCCTCACATCGCCGGACAACCTCCAAACCACCGCCTTCAACCTCATCTGCCACAATATCTTATCTCTTTTGGCAAGGATAGATACATGGAGTTTAGATCACGCTTTCCAAGAACGCAATGAGGCGGTTACGGCAATTGCTCTTAGTGTCACTCGTGACCAACGTCATCAGTCATACATCGCTCGACATGCACCAGTATGGCTCCACTATCTTCTCGCTTTGGAGGCTCAAAACTAAGAAGTATTTTTTTTGTGATTTTACAGTCTTTTTGTCTATGATGTCTATTGACATTTCATTCCCTTTTGTTTAATTGTATCACCTGTTTCTATTTGTTGAACTGAGTGTTATAAAAAAAAAACTAGTTTAATTATTGATACTTTTTCTTATATTCAAGTAAATACCATATAAAATATTTTAAACAATATAATATGTATTTTATCATTCTTCAAATTTTTAAAAAAAATTAGCTAACTTAATTTTCTTATAGTTTATTTTTTTCCTTTCAATTCCTCAATTAAGGGATGGCTACCAATCAGAGCGACTGAAGATAGACATTAAAAACTCATGTGACACATGATAGTCTCTAAACTTGTGTTTAGAAAAATGTAACTTTATTATACTAGATAACTATATATACTTGGCAGATGAAAAAATAAGTTATAGGTATTTTTCACAAAAACTTATATTTATGAATCAGAAATTCCAAGAACACACTTTTTTCTTTTAGTTTAACAAAATATTTATGCCACTTCTTACTTTCCTCTTTAAATTGACTGGTAAATATCTAAAACGTCAAAGTAACATTCGGTTTATGATATATGTTAAAGTATTACAAAAATTATTCGATTGCCTATTTTATGAAAATATATTTACCTTACGTAGTGATTGTACAGTCAATAACAAGTTTTTTGAACTTTTTAAAAAATTAACATTATGATTTGTACACAATCGAGCATTCCTATCAAGTTATTCGATTTTGTTAGCTTGAAAAAAAAATAGAAAAGTTGATACAGTAACTCTTTCACATGTTTCTTATATTAAATTTATTTTCTCTATAATATACAAGAAAGTTATAAACTAATAAGAAAATTATTACGGGCAAATCAAACTGAAGCCAAGAAAAGTGAGAATAATAATCATCGCGGGCTTATTAAGGCATGCAAAATTTAAAATTTAAAAGTCTTGGAGTATATTTCAGCTATACATTAATGGAACAATAATTATGATTTATGAATCCATGCTCTCATGATTCATTGATTCAACTGTTTTGTGAGAGATTTTATTACTTTTATTTATGTAGCTGCATTACGTTATGGGGGAGGAGGAATTATTAGCTCAGGCTACTGATGGACTTCGAATTTATTTGATAGGTACAGACTATAGAATTAAAGAAAATCATTATTTATTGGACTGCCACTGATGATAACCTACGTTCTAAAAATCGGCCACCGTTTAGATGCTAGGCGATTCTCTTCCGCCCCAATTTATATCAAATCGTTGTAGAAAATTGGTCGTCAGATTTTAATCTGCCTATACTGTCTAGATGACCGCCTAGCCGACCGCCTAATCTGTTTTTTTTTTGTTTTTTTTTAATAATATTTTGTATGTATTTATTTGTTTTAAAAGTAAATTATAATTTTGATGAAATTATATCATATTAACTTTGTAAATTCTATTTGTGTGTGTTTATAAGATTCTAAACATGAAAATGTATTAATGTTATACATAATTAAAGATTAGTATATCTTATAACATATCAAACAGTCAAAAAATTCGATACCGTATAATTCCCGCTTCATCCCCGATCTTCTCTATGCGCTAAGCCCTATAGAACTGCCCGACTAGCGCATAGCACATTCTCAAACATGGATGATAACTATGTAGGCAAGGCAACAAATGTAACTACAACTTGACAGATAAATACTATATTATTTGTATTTAATAATATCATAATTTTTTTATAATATATGTAAATACCAAAGACTTTTCAATTATTATAGACTTTTCTCTAAAATTTATAAGTTTTGTAACGTCATCTCAAATCAGACACCAAAATACAAAACACCAAATCATCAGAATTTAATATTTTCTTCTATTTTATTATAAATTTCATTTTAGATTTATGCAAACAGATTAATAAAATAACTAATGTTATATTTTTTTTATATAAAAACATATTTAGTTATACAACTAACAATATTTTACCCAATAGAAAATGTTGAATAAAATTTATAAATTTATATAAAAAACCGAAAATAACATTTATTTTATAAGAAACATTTTTCTATATAAAACAGAGGAGGGAGTATAATTTTATTTATACCTAAACATCAAAGTGACATTATCTCACCAAATTTAGTTTATTATGAATAATATTAATAAAACATTATTTATTAGACCAAATAAAACGATGACTTTATTACATTTTTTTTAAGTTCTAGATAGATTAGTTTTATTATTTAGTTTTATTTTATAGTAAAATGAATATTCATAATATTTTGTATTTTTATTTGTATTTTCGCATTGCTAATACATATGCATATGCAACATGAATTTCGTAATAACGAGAATTTCAGGTTAAAATTTAGACTGACAGAATATCAACTATGATTGAAATCCTAATGGAAACACAAAATTTAGTTTTCCAACTACTATTAAAATGACAATATAATCATTTGAACACTGGTTACGAAACCTTGAACTGCTAGACAAAAGCTGGTTAATAATGAAATTTGTAATTGTAATATATCGTGTGTATATGAACAATGTTAAGAGGAATGTTCAAATAATAGATGCAGTGATATATTGTAAAATTTGCTTTCAAATACTTTGTAATTGTATGAACAAAATTGAGAGGAATGTTAAGCTGTAATCTATGCATTGATATGTTGTAAAATTTGCTTTTAAATACTTTGATATTAATAAATTCTTTAAATAAACCCACTATCTCATAAAAAATATGTTCACCATTCTAACAAAGCCTATTAAACAAAAACTGAAACTTCGAGTAAAAAACAAACAAAATTGAAACTTTCATTGAAGCTTCCTTTTTCTTGTATCTTCAGTCATTGACTTTAATTTGCCTCGCTTAATTTGAACATCGACTTTATTCGACGTTATCGATTCACATGTTTTCCCCCGGTGTGACCGTTGTTGTTAACTAAACAGCACAAATAAGTACATCTCTTGGAATAAAATGGGATGTCAAAAAAATACATGATAGTTTAGCGTTTATGCCAGCTCACATGTGAATAAAAAGTTCAGGTAACAGAGTCATCCCGTAGCGAATATCATAGATCACATTTCCTAATTGAACATGTTGTATAGCAATACGATCCAATTCAACACTATTACCTTCAAACCATACCTTTCGCCAACCACGTATCCAAATTTGATGTATAGCAAAAAAAAAAATAATAACCTAAGAGCCTCACCTTGCAAAGGAGATCCAACCTTCAACTGCTTTTCGCACATCTTCAATTGGATGAACATTTCTTCTTGCAAAGAGGAATTCATTTCTAGACTTCCAAATTTACCATAATAACCAAAAGAAAGCTTACAAATACATTCATTCCTTGTCGCACATGAAGTGTTTATGTTTAAAACAATAACCATATAATGTAAAAAACAATAACCATATAATAGGGCATTTACTATGTTATTACAACTT